GCTCGAGGTACAAAGGGTCGGGGGTTGGCATGATGAGTCTTTTGATGATGAGTATGGGTCTTGACGTGGTGGCGGTGAAGGACCAATACGTTGAGTGGGCATCAAGGCCTTAGGTACAAATGGTCGAGGGTCGATGCACAGTTTGAGGCCTTGAGAATAAGGGCCAAGGTCGAACGCCAAGCTTCTAGACAGAAGTGTCGGGGCCTTGGGTACAAAAGTTCAGGGGCCAATACGAATCGAAGAGTTAAACTTGGATTACTAACATAATATAGTGGGCTAGGAGGAGCTTGGAAGAGCTAAAGGTCAACGGTCCTTGCAGTCGAGGTTTTGTTAGGCTTGATGCTTGGGATGTATGTGTGTGTATTGATTTTCTGTTATTTCCTATTATTGATGATTACTATTTGTAGTATCGAGATGTTTTATTTCAATGTCAAGCATTTGTGGAGTATTTTATATACTCACCGCCCTCTACAACTTTTATTTTCAGGTGCAGATCGAGTCCTTGACCATGGTGATGACGTGGAGGAGGCTTGACCAAGGAAGGACCATTTAGGCTCCTTTATTTTCACTTAGGATAGTTGATCTGTAGTTGATTTCTGGAGGCATAGGGACTTATTGATAGTAGTGGACTAATTATTGTTGTTTTTGACGAGATGTAGAATTTTGTTTCCCTTACAAATGCACCTTTGTTATTACTCGATTGGATTGCCCATTTGTCTTGGAATTGTTGTCCAAATAGAGGTTTCTTTTATTTATGGACTGATTAGTCCTCTGAGGGCAGACAATTCACGTTTAGGATTGAATGCAAACATGGGTTCCCCATTGGTTATCCTGTAATTGATGCATTACGCTTTCCTGTTAGGAGAGAGTTGAACAGGGAGTTTGATAACGCTACCCCGAGAACGTTGCTGAAATTTGGGGGTGTTACAAATTTCGTCAGGACCAGATCACCTTCTTTGAAGTTACGCTTCTCAACCTTTGAATCTTAATATCGAGCGATCCGATTTTTGTACTCGGTCGTTCGTAGTCGTGCTGTTTCTCAATGTTCTTCTAGTAGGTTGAGGTTAAGCTGTATGGACTCGTTGTTTTCAGGTAGACTGAATTTTTCTATTCTTAGGGAAGGGAGGCCGATTTCCTCTAGCACTACAGCTTCAGAACCGAACGATAATGAGAGTGGCGTCTCGCCAGTTGATGTGCAGGTTGTTGTTTTGTAGGCTCACAATGCACGAGGAAGTTCTTCCGCCCATAACCCCTTATGTTTCTATAATCTAGTTTTTAGAGTTATTTTGATAATTTTGTTGATTGTTTCGACTTGTCCATTAGCTTGTGGGTGTGCTGGCAAGAGTAGCTGTGTTTGATACCCAGTTCCCTGCAAAATTCTCCAAAAGCCGCATTGTCGAATTGCTTTCCATTATCACTAATAATGGTGTATGGTACCTGATTACGCTTGTTTACATGCGTAAAAAGAAGATTTTAGATGCTGTTTTTACTATGTTTTAACTTTGTTTCGGACTTTTTCTCTGTCGTTTGAGTTCCATATCATGCAAAATTCATATATGATGGTTTGTGGTTGGCTTATATTGTATTTATGACATTTTGGGACCATTTGGGAGTTCAAATTAATCAAAAGAAGCAAAAAGACGGAAAAACTATCATTGGAGGAACCAGGCGCCTGGTAGGCTGCAGAAAACCTGGTTTTCTTCCAACTTTGCCCTTAATGAAACACGTCTTCCAATGCGTTTTGGTGGTTCCAACCAATGCATACGTGTAGAAGAAGTGTTCCACTATCAGTTTCAGCACCATTTAGTCAGTCAAAGGAGTTGGAAATGGGTGATCCACCAGCGTTTTAGGACCTACCTAACCAATTCTGCACAGCTATAAATTCCAGCAACTTCTCCACCAAATTCATCAAGCCTTGCTTCCTTCTCTTGATTATTCTTAGTGTTTCTTTGTTGCTTTCTAGGTACTTTTGAGTTGCTTTTAGTTTTTAAATCCCGAGCACTTTACATTCCTTTATTGAGCTTTGTTTTGTTTCCGTTGTTACTTAGTTATTTTCTACCTATTCAAATTTATAAAAATCTAGCACTTAGCTTATCTTTACTTTGCCTTTACTTTATTTTTAGTTAAGAGAATTATGTTTTTGGAGGAAAGAGCACGTGACACTCCCCCTTGCTTAAAAGAGAAGGGCGAAGCTCTCAATCCCGAGCAAAACTCTCCGTTAGTTAATTTTGTTTTTCACACATGCATTTCAATGTCAACCATTTTACTTGCTGTATTTTCTTCAATATGTCTTTCTAAATTCCCGTCTCTAGCCCGGTTATGGATAGTTAGCCTTTTATTTCTAAAAAGGGTTGCTAAGAAGTAGTGTTTTCGCTTTCCACTCATTGCTCAACATGTTTTCCCAAAAAGTTAGGATTTAGAGAAGGCCACTGTAAGTCTTAACAAGTCAATACTGAAAAGGTTGCTTATTTGCATTGTTGAGTGGTTAAATCGAGGAGAGGAGCGCCTTAGACATAAGGGTTCTGGTTAAGTAGCCTAGACATAAGACCTTAACCTGGGGTTGCGACTATTTCCATCCTAAAACTAAGATATCTCTCATAATAGACATATTAGGGAATGTCTTAGGACTTTGAACTTGCTTAGACATAAGTCA